AACCCGCGAACAGAACATCAGATCAGTCTTGGATTCTTGATCAGCAGGATCTTGAGAAAGCTCAGATCGGTTATGGGCCTGTAGAAAATAGCAAAGTCTCTGCATTACTATAAGTATACATACAAAGGATTAAAATATATCATGATCTACTGGCTTAAGTTTTTAGATTTAAAGGTCATTTAACCTGATATCAAAGAAAAAGATCTTAAATTTGAACCGACGCACCTAGTGTTTAGAATGCATATAAATACTAAATATAACATATCAAGTATCGACTTGATAAAATTCAGTTTAGTGATTATCAATTACACGCAACAATTTCACAAAAGATATTTAAAAAAAGAACAAAAAAACAATTACACGCCACTGTGGAGTTTGCTGAATTTCTCGTAATTTTCGACACACAATCAAATGAAGTATCTGTACATTTAAGCCATTAATCTCGTCCCCATTCAAGTAATTCTAGGCTTCTTCAATCAAATTTTCTATCCCATGTTCCTACATAAATGGTTGTATTATGGATACCTATCAAATAATATTAAGTTTGAGTGGTCTACCAGTTCCAAAATTTCATAATCCGTAGTTTATAGTGAGCAAACATAAACAAGATCAGTCAAATTGGAACTATAAGATTACTCAACCAGGGCGCTATCATATGATGTCATTAACCATTTCATCTCTAAAACAGACAAAGTTGTGCAAAATAAAGGGACGAACCTGAGGTGTTTTAGGAAATTTGAATAACTTGGAATCAGCCTCTTGGAAGGTGCCCCAAGATCTGGCATCTAGAGAAGGAGTATTTTTGCTCGACGAAGAGAGCCTTTTCATAGCAAATGCATCACAAGTCTGCTCAGCATCCAAAATAGACGAATGTTGATCACTATGGTGCTGCTTTGGAACTTCAGAAAATCTCATCTTGGCCGCAGCAATGCATGCATCAAGGGAATCAGTAATTACTTCAGCTGGCTGCACGCCTGCATTGCCCCCTGTTACCTTTGAACTCCAGCTACTGCATTTTCCCAATAAGGAAGCTTCAGACAAGAGGCCTCCCATGCTTATGTTTGATATACTATCTAACTGCAGGATTCCACATTCTGATGACAACTGATGATCATAATCTAACGGTGGCTCATTACCCTAGTTCAAACAGTGTTATCAAATTTCATAAATCATATTATTTACTGTAAGCCAAAACAAACGTTCAAATATAATCATTTGGTTTGGCAAAAAACACACATACACTTGTCACAACGTCAGTTTTAGTGTATTTGTCTTTGTATGTCTGCTTAATTTCAAACATTGCATCAGCGTAGCGAAAACAAAGTTTATAATCCTTATCAATGCATCATAATTTTCACAATACGCAATTTGTTACATAGACCTCATACGTAATATGAACTGGGAAAAATAATCATGTAAATTTAATTATAGTAATAATTTGTTCTCTCTTGTAGTAATGTTCATTTAAAATTTTAATAAAAATTGGAGGTTGAATATAATACCACTGGATTAAATGGACAGTCCACTATCTTCTCTGGTGCAGCAGGGTTATTCAGATCATTCATATTGCTTGACTTGATCTCATCCACCATTTGCTCAGATTGTTTGCATTCGCCATCTATGGTACGCACGATACTACCGCAACCTCTCTCCAAGCCTTTCGAGGATGAATGGAGTTTAGGAATGGATGTGGAGACCCAGTCGTACCTTGAAAAGGATAATAATTTCCAATAACATATTTAAATGAATAAATAAATCATTACCAAGGCAAACGATAAAAATGTGCACCTTAAGCGGAAAATTGAAGAACCACCAACAGCTGCATAGACATCTCCAGCACTGATGTCACTATCTTTCAGAATCCATTTTAAACCACAGACAAGATTTGATGGCTTACTGTATGGAAAAAGTGTGAGCTCCCCTCGTGCTGCATTAGAGCATCCCCATTTGCTAATAAGATGATTTAATACCGAAGACATTTTCTTTCGAGCCCTTAAAGTCAGTTCCAAATGTGGGCGATATCCATCCTACAAAAATAAAAGTGATAGTTTTGTCACATCTCTTATATGAACTGAAATACAGATATCATACTTGTCTGTGCTTAATCCACAATGTTTTGTGTTCGTGACAATACCTTTTCCAATGCTATGCGGGTCTTTTCATTTATTGGAAAAAGTTGAAGCTTGATCTTTGTGCGAGGGTGGGGCATCTGTGTGGGATAAAGATGAAGAAGAGGTGACCTCTCTGTCATTTCTGTCGGATTAGTTCGATCAACCGAACTCTGTGCACTCTTCAAGTCATCTGCTCTAGATCAAAAAAGTCTCTAGTTTATAAACAACAGTCTTGTAAATAAATAAAGAAAGAAAATCACTGTACGCAAAGAAATTTGTTCCTTTTTTCACACTGGAACAGTACACATAATCTTTCACATGACGGGACTAGAACATCAGCTTAAGACAGGAAAAATACCCCAAGAAGAGGCATGAAATTTAAGGAAAATATCTCGTATCGAACAAGTCATTTGAAACAAAAGAAATTGGTCGTTAAACCTTCAATGTGTGCATTATCAAGAGATTTTATCTCCTGAGAAATTATCTTTCTATACTTCTGAACTCCAATCGTGTCAGCAGATGTCCCACACCTTTTCCCCAATTTTTCTGCCCTTCCATCTGGGTGCCTGCCTGTTTTCATTATGTTTCAACTTTCCAGCAATGAATAGGATCTGAGGAGAGTTCCTTGAGCTATCTATCCAAAAAGGAAAATTAAGATGGCAGAACCTGAAACGGCTAAGAGTCAGCAAACTTTGTCATCATGTAACTGTGTGTGCATTTCATGTTATCGTGACAGATGCTACACAGGAAACTACCAAATTGTTCGCGCATGGCTGCATTTCAATTTTTTACCCTTTTGTTTTATTGAGTGGAAATAAAACCGTCCAGAAAACCTAATTCCAGTTATAGATTTTCTTCATGGTCCAAATCCTCCCCCATAATAACGATGATAATGTAGACTATTTTAAGTTGACCAAATCAAGTAGTTCCGTCACTGTCATGATAAACCAAAGAAATCCCTGAACTAACTCGGAAACGTACCTACCACAGGGATCAGCAAATTTCCAAGCGTCCATAAGGAGAACTCTATACAAAAAATCGAACATAAATCACGCACTCAAAAGCCGCAATTAGCACTTCAATGGTTGAAATTTATTACATCCAACCCAGATCTGTAGATCATAACCAAAATACTAAGACAAAAATGGTAATAAGGCATACTTTAGGTCATTGGATCGCAGGGCATAAATTTGCAGCTGAGCATCAAGAAACACCGTACAAACACAGACTACTAAAACTTCGCACAAAGCGGACCAATTATTCAAGTCACCATTAAAAAGCTACTAAAAAGAACCAAAATCGATCAAGACAGACGTATTGAGTCCAACAAAAAAAAAAAAAAAAAAAAAAAAAAAAAAAAAAA